ATAACGCATAACTCATGAACCGATACACAGAAAAACACCAAATTTTAAACTTAAGCTTTGTTTCAGCGTCCAATGAGCTGATTAGATTTTGGGCAGTGTCGGAACATCTGGGGGGGTACTTTATAGGTGGTCATTTTTATATTTTATGGAATATATCTGTTATTTACGTTTGGAGAAGAAAATTCTTCAAATAAAAGTTACTTCTAATATAATTATCTATAATTTTTGTTTTATGCAAAATTTTCCTAAAATGGTCCGTATTCGAGAAATTTGACAAAATGTAAAAAATATAATTTTTTATAAAAATTGTTCAAATAAAAGTTGTTTATAATATAATTCTCTATAATTTTTGTCCTATACATAATTTCTCTAAAATGGACCGTATTCGAGATATTTGAGAAAATGTGTATATTTCGAAATTTGAAGAAAACTCAAAAACGGATAAAGGAAAAAACATTAAATTTTAAACTTAAGGTTTATTTCGGCCTGACGTGAAATGATTAGATTTTGGACAAAGTTGGAACATCTGGGGGGTACTTTATGGGAGGCCGTTTTTATATTTTATGGAATATATCTGTTATTTATGTTTGGAGAAGAAAATTGTTCAAATAAAAGTTACTTCTAATATTATTATCTATAATTTTGGTTTTATGTCAAAATTTCCTGAAATGGTCCGTATTCGAGAAATTTGACAAAATGTGCAAAATTCTGATTTTTATGAAAATTGTTGAACTAAAAGTTGTTTGCGATATCGATTTCTATAATTTTTGTTTATACATGATTTTTCTAAAATGGTCCGTAATGGAAAAGTGCTAAATTTAAATTTTTCTGTATTTTCGTTTTCAATGAATATCTATAGAAAAATGTTTCGAGGTAGATGTATGTGTAAAATGTATATATTTAGTTTATCCTCTAAACATTTATAGAGATGCTGCAATAGGTTGTACAAAATAACCGGAAAATGCCTATAATAACTAGATAGGAAAGTCATGTGTTGGACACATCAGATTTTTTAGTGTCAATTTAGAGAAATCTAACCCTTAATGATGATTAGAGTCCGAGTCCCTCGACTAAGCTTTTGAGTTCACTCATTAAAGTCTAACCTACGAGGCAATTGTCCTTTTACTATGAGCGAACTCGAACTTTGGTTCCCTTAATTTAATTTTGTTAGAATCTTGGCGAGATGTAATCCATGCAAGTAATTTTTACTTTCCTATCTGTATACAGATATAAGGAAAGTATAGGAATCATGATTTTTTTCGACTTCGAGTTTTCGACGGATTTTTACGTTTTGAGGTCCCCTGAATCCGTTTTGACTATTTTCGCGATGATGTCTGTGTGTGTGTGTGTGTGTGTGTGTGTGTGTGTGTGTGTGTGTGTCTGTGTGTGTGTGTGTGTGTGTGTGTGTGTGTGTGTCTGTATAACGCATAACTCATGAACCGATACACATAAAAACACCAAATTTTAAACTTAAGCTTTGTTTCAGCGTCCAATGAGCTGATTAGATTTTGGGCAGAGTCGGAACATCTGGGGGGGTACTTTATTGGTGGTCATTTTTATATTTCATAGAATATATCTGTTATTTACGTTTGGAGAAGAAAATTTTTCAAATAAAAGTTACTTCTAATATAATTATCTATAATTTTTGTTCTATACAAAATTTTCCTAAAATGGTCCGTATTCGAGAAATTTGACAAAATGTAAAAAAAATATTTTTTATAAAAATTGTTCAAATAAAAGTTGTTTGTAATATAATTATCTATAATTTTTGTCCTATACATAATTTCTCTAAAATGGACCGTATTCGAGATATTTGAGAAAATGTGTAAATTTCGAAATTTGAAGAAAACTCAAAAACGGATAAAGGAAAAAAACAATAAATTTTAAACTTAAGGTTTATTTCGGCCTGACGTGAAATGATTAGATTTTGGACAAAGTCGTTACATCTGGGGGGGGGGGGGGGTACTTTATGGGAGGCCGTTTTTATATTTTATGGAATATATCTGTTATTTATGTTTGGAGAAGAAAATTGTTCAAATAAAAGTTACTTCTAATATTATTATTTATAATTTTTGCTTTATGTCAAAATTTCCTGAAATGGTCCGTATTCGAGAAATTTGACAAAATGTGCAAAATTCTGATTTTTATGAAAATTGTTGAACTAAAAGTTGTTTGCGATATCGATTTCTATAATTTTTGTTTATACATGATTTTTCTAAAATGGACCGTAATGGAAAAGTGATAAATTTAAATTTTTCAGTATTTTCGTTTTCAATGAATATCTATAGAAAAATGTTTCGAGGTAAATGTATGTGTAAAATGTATATATTTAGTTTATCCTCTAAACATTTATAGAGATGCTGCAATAGGTTGTACAAAATAACCGGAAAATGCCTATAATAACTAGATAGGAAAGTCATGTGTTGGACACATCAGATTTTTAATTTAATTTTGACACATAAAAAATAATATTAATAAATTTTCACAACATACATTCATTATCTTCAAGAATTCTAAAAGTACACCTCTACTAAAGCTTCCGCGGCACCAATTTTGGTTTTCTTATAGAGTCAGCAATGGCGAACCGAATAAATTAAATTCTAGTTGATGTTTAAATTTAAATTAAACCTATATAATTCCTTTTTTCATTTATTTTTTAAAAATTATAAAAATTTAAATAAGTTAAAAAATAAAAACAGAGGGTGCAACATTCTACACTTTGAATGAAACACTTGATGATCGCATAATTTTAGTAATGGGACCTGAGAATTGGTTTCCAAGATCGAGTGGATTATTTTCTGTGGGGATATGTGAAGCTGCTAGTCTTCGCTTACAAACCAGAGAAATGAACGATTTGAAAGTCAACATAAGCTGCGTTATTGTCGATATACAGCCCCATCAATGAATTTCCCATATACTCGTACACCGATGCTGTATAGAGGTATTTGAAGATTTATGAACGAACATGAAACGGCGCTTGGCCCGAATTAGCATATCAAACTGCCGGATAGGAATTTCGACATTCAATGTCGCGATGGCCTAGAGGTAGGGCATTTGTGTACAGAACAAAGATGTCTAAGTTCGAATCCCAGCGCAGACAGGCTTTTTTTATATCTCCAGGTCTGTGTTTTCACCCCAGAGGTCTTAATAATTCGTAGGGGGATTTTTGAGATTTGTTTCAGAATTTTCAAATTATTTCATTGAATTATAATTATTAAACTATTAAAATGGCGTATGGTGGGTTGCTGAGATATCGAATAATGATTATGTGTGGTGAATTTAGGAGTGATAGATTACTTAATGTTAGATCCATCTAGCGATAAATATGTGACCTAATAGAGGGATAATTATTCGATTTAGAAAAAAATTCAATATTAACAGACATATTAGTTTTAGTGACTTAAAATGCTTTACCTCTAATACAGTTGATGTGGCATGTGACGAAACATATTCTAGTGACTTAACATAGTTTACCTATAGTAAATTATGACCATTTAAATGTCGCATGTGCCCCTTAAAACATTTTTTTAGGAGTAAAAAATATTTCAATATTGGGAAATATTTCTCAGCTTTTTAAATTTTTCTTGGGTTTGTTTTCGCTATGGGGATATGGAAGTGTATTTTTCAAAATTTCGTAGGGGGAACTGGGGATTATATATTTTCATATTTCCAAAATTGCATTTTAAGTTTTCGGATCTCAACCGATTTTTTCACCTTTCCTTGTAAATATATTCGTTTTAATTTGAAATAAATGTGGATCTTACGCGAATTACAGAATGGAGAGGTAAAGATTATTTTTGCATGAGTTTTAACGAATTCCAGAAGAGAGCACGTATTTGAATTTTATATTAGGGTCGAAAAGGTAAAGGGCCAAAATAATATTTTTACATGGGCTAGCTTAAGGGGCAAAGATACCAAATATTTTTACATAGGCAGACGTACATTATAAAAGGGCCAAATATTTTTACTTCTATGTACTTTAGGGATGAAAGAATAAAATATTTTTAGATGGACTCGCTTAAGGGACAAAGGGACCAAATACTTTTACATGGACAAACTTAACCAAATATTTTAATATGGACTGGCTTAAGGGATAAAGGATCCACATATATTTCTCATGAATAGGAATAAAATGGGGCATATATTATTATATGGACAGGCGCAATGGACAACAAGACCAAATATATATACTTGGGAAGGCTTAAGAGGTAAAGGTACCAAATATTTTTACATAAGTAGACAGGATTAAAGGGCAAAGGGAACGAACATTTTTTTTACATGGATTACGGGGTAAGGGCTTAAATATTTACATAAAGCGCTCAAACAAATTCAAATCGTTTCTCGTTTCTCGTTTCTCGTTTCATTTATGCTACGAGTTTACTCGAAATGGTGAAAATAACAAATATATCAAATTATTGTAAATTTTTAATTTATATTAATATAGTACTTTTAATTTTAAGTTATATTATTAGATTAATATTAATTTTTGCGTGTTTAAACATACTTTTGTATATAATTATTTATACCATTATGATTACAAGAAATTATTTTATTTATTTTGTATTTAAAGGTGTTAATTTTGTATCCTAATGATTTATTTGATTTATATTTATAAAAATACTTTTTAATTTTTTTTTTTGGTGCAGTGATAATTAAACGTTTCGACTTTTGTAATGTAGTTCTGTAATTGGGATTGTCTGTTGGACAAATAAATAAATATTTGTTTAAGAACATTTTGTCATGCCTAGTTCTTTAGTGTGCAAATTGATTTATTTTTTTTACGATTTTTATGATTGTTTACACATCTATTCCATTATTCACTAAATTTTATTTTGAATACAATAAAGACGTTTGTTATTATTTTCATCATTAAATAGCTAATAGCAACAGATGATTATTATTAAATAAAGTAGTGTCTGGGAAACTCAATATTAAAATAGTTTAACATCGTCTTCATTTCCTTCTACTTATATGTATATTGAAAGGTTTGGATGACTTACCCTTTGCGGAACTCCCCTGGCAGTGGCTGCTGCCCTGCCGTGCCTCGGAGAGCTGCCTCCATGTTTCTCTTTTCGATGTGATGTCTTCAACCCTCGCAAAAATCTAGAAAACGTCGTCCGCTTCTTGCCGGTATTCGTATAGTTTTGTTCTGAAACAATTATTTTCATTATGGTTCATTTCGAAGGCAGAGCACGATTGAAAATAAATAATCTATGTATACGATCTCACTTATACACCAATTTGTGATTGTTAAAGATTATCAATTTTATTAGCTATGTACCTACTATAGTTGAATAAGTTTATGAAGTCATATAGGTTTTTCAAAATAAATACTGACAATCAACGAACTTTTTTTATTAACTGCAAATCCTACGAGAATCTTCTATAATTCAACATGTTATGGCCCCCCCTGCACATATGCTCAAAATCAACTTATTTATGTGATAGTACTTTGGGTCCGGTAAAGAATCCAGATGTATAAATTTTTAAACATTTAAAAGTAACTAGTTTGCGAAAAAAAAATTAAAAAAAAAAGAGATACACGTATGTATAAAAGAAATTTCGTTAAAAAAAAAGAAATTCGAGAAGAAATTGAACAAGAAGTTTCAGCTGTAAGAAAAGACAGTAACAATCAGGATGAAAAAACCAAATATACTGTGCAATTATTACAAGAAAAAATGTCACTGGGTAAAAATCTGATCAATAAAATGACCAGATTTGAAAATGTGTTTATGATTGTTTTTTTTTGGAGTAGTAGAATCGCATCAATGTAGTCGGGACAAAATTAAAACAGAAAGACGCAGATATTGGATTCGTAAATCCTGATTTTTTTTTATTTCATTATCAAGTGAAAATTGACATTTCAATGAAAGCGACGATGATGAAGAAGTTCTGTTGGGTGCTAAGGATGATTTCAAAATAAAAGTTATCTTTACAATAATAATTGTAGATCGATTTTGGAATTGGATCTATTTATTTTACGAACTCTCTGTTGGAGGAATAAGGGGTAAAGCGTTAAAATGAAGTTTATTCACAGGATATTTCAGACGATCTATTGTTGAAGAGATTTTGCACCTCAGAGTATTTGGTACTAGAAATTAGAGATCGAAATCTGCTTGATATTTTTTCTAATATTGAAGTAGTTTTAAGAATTTACAAATCAATGACCGAAAGTAATTGTTTCTAATTACTTTATTTTATTTTTTATTTTATTTTATTAAATACACTGCTCTACAGGCTAAATGCCTAGTTATAGAGCAGGAAAAAAATTGTAATTACAAAAGTAAATATAAATATAACATATTGCACAATAAGACATAATTTGGATATAAGATAAATTACACAACATAACAAAACTTACACAATATAACAAAAATTACATAATATGACAAAAAATTAAAAAAATTAATGACTATACACAAGCAAATAGTACCGAAACAGCTTTACAATTTTTTGAGCTGCGAAAGCTTACAAGAAAATAAATCAATTCTACCTTGCAGGTTGTTGCAGTTTTCACACATAAAATACAACGGCGAGTTTTTTAATAAATTTGTCCGAGATAGCGGGAGATAAAACATTAAGTTGTTTCGAGATTCAGTTCTTGGCACTTTAAATACAAGTTGTTCTAATAACTCGGAACAATCAATTTGGTAGTTAATAAGTTTATAGAGGAATATTAACGAATGATTTTTTCGTCTACATTCTAAGCTTTGCATTTGAAATCTATTTAGAAGTAACGTGTGATTTATCCCAATTGGTGGATATGTTCCGTCTATCTTAAATGTCAAGAATTTTAGATATCGTCTTTGAACGTTTTCAAGAGCGCTTATGTGAATATCATAAAATGGTTTCCATATTATTGAAGCATATTCTAATTTTGATTTGACAAACGCATTGTACAACATATTCATGGTTTCGATAGAAATGAGGTCAACTGCATGCCTAATGATAAATCCCAAATTTCTGAATGATGCTTTTACCACGTCATTTAGATGTTCATTAAAAGTAAGTTTTCTATCGAACTTTACCCCAAGATCTATAACAAAATCAGGCCTATTTAATATAGCACCATCCAAACAGTAGTTATAGAGAATTGGAAAATCTTTTTTGGTATATGACACTATATTACATTTTTTTGAATTTAATGGAAGATTATTTTTTAAACACCAATTATTTATTTTATTAATATTACTTTGTAATTTAAGACAATCATTTAAGATATCTACCTGATAAAAAAATTTGACATCGTCTGCATAAATTAAATATTTTACGTTAACGTCATTAATAATGTCATTTACGAATAGTATAAATAAAAGCGGTCCCAGAATCGAGCCTTGAGGTACGCCAGAGGTTACTAAGATATCGACAGACTCAAATCCACGCACTTCAACAAACTGGGTTCTGTTTGTCAAGTATGATTGAAAAAAATTTATGACAGGCTTGGACAATCCAAACTTGCTAAGCTTTTGAAGTAATATTCTATGATCGAGTTTGTCGAAAGCCTTAGAAAAATCTGTATATATTACGTCTAGTTGACCGCCGCCATCAACTATTGCAGAACTGTATTGTGTAAATGAGAATAGATTTGTTATTGTTGACCTGTTCTTACAAAAACCATGTTGTTCGTCCACTATCTGATGTTTGACGTGTGGTATAATATTATCGTATAGTAAAATTTCAAAAACTTTGGCAAAATTACATATAATAGTGATGGGTCGATAGTTCTCAATACAATTTTTTTTACCTTTTTTAAAAACAGGACAGATTCTTGACCTCTTCCATGCATTAGGAAATGTACCAGTACGCAATGACAAATTAAATATTTTATTTAAAGGAATAGCTAACGCATGGGAACAATCGCGAACCATGAAGGATGGTATATTATCAGGTCCCTTAGTAAATTTAGATTTTAACTTTAATATTGCCTTCGACACATCAGATTCTTTAAATTCAGCTATATGTACATGTAAATTATTTGATAAATCACTCTCAAAGTCAACATCAAAATTTGATGAATTACTGTAGGAATTTTTAAAGTAAGTAGCAAATCCATTTACAATATCCTGCATGTTTAAAAGATTTAAATCATCATAAGTCATAAATTCAGGTATTCCACCATCTTTCCGTTTAGAATTTACGTATGACCAAAAGTTCCCACTATTTCTTTTTATATTCTCTTGTAATGTTTTAACGTAGTCTTTATGTGCTTTCTCTACGTCCTTTTTAATTTTGGATCTTAGCCGTTTAAATTCTTCGAAGGCATTTAAATCATTATTGCGCTTAAACTTTTTTCGTGCTTTCTCTTTTTTTTTAATATCTCTAATAATAGGTCCTTTGAACCATGTGGGGTATTTTCTTGCAGTTGGAACATATTTGGGAATGCATATATCCATCATACCATGTAGTTGTTTATAAAATAACTTACATGCAGTTTCAATATTATTCACATTATTGAGAAAAGACCAGTCACATGAAGCTATTAGTTGATATAACATCATATAATTAGCTTTACGAAAGTTATACTGTAAATTTTTATTTACTGGATTAGGTTTACTACGAGGATTAGATATTTGAAAATTAATATTCAAAGCAGGATGCGAGACATCTTCAGGAACCATCAAATCATATACCCTTTCAACAGTGCATGATTCATTACAGAAAACTAAGTCCAATAATCGATTGTTTATGTTAAATATATTATTATATTGTTTGAAATCGTGGAGATTTACGAAAGCATTTAATTCAACTAGCTGACCAGTGAGAGGTGCCATATTAGCATACTGGGGAACATTAAAGTCTCCTAAAACAAATACTTTCTCTTAATCAACAAAATTTAAGGTGGAGAGACAATCAAATAAGGCTTCATAATCAACAACTTTAAGACTTGGAGGAATGTAAACAAGTAGTATTAATATTTTGTAATAATTTAATGTAATCGTAGTGCCTAGAATATCAATAATTGGAATAATATCGCTAATAAATGTTAGATCTATTTCATTACTAATAAATTTTTTATTGACAGCTAGCAAAACACCTCCACCGTAATTTAATTTAACTCGAGAAGCAGATCTATCCTTTCTATATACATGATAATTATCGGAAAATATCTCACAGCTACGAAAAGATTCGTTTAACCAAGTCTCTGTCAATGCTACAAAATCAAAATCGGACTGAAGAGAAAACAAGTAAACGGTATTTATTTTAGTTCGAATTCCACGGACATTCTGGTAATATAGATAGCAGGTCAAGTTTTTATTAAAAATATTAAATGAATTATTTTGCGGGTGTAGAGCTGTACCACCAATGGTTAATACAACCGACTGACTCATTTGCGATTGCTATGCTACATAAAGTGAGGATTTTAACTCATCTATATGACGTTGGTAAGAATTACAATGGGTGTCCCATGCAGCATGATTTACATTAATTTGAACCAGAGAATCCCGTTCCATCACCTTTACACAATTTATACATTTTAATTCATCAACTGAAGCCTTACATTCTTTTACAGCATGTTTTTCTGCACACCTTGGACAATATATAGTACTACTGGGACAATTTTTTGAAAAATGATTAAAACCATTACATTTATAACACCTCTTAACAGATACACAATCATAAACAGAGCAGACATCAAAGCCAATAAATAGCTTACCTTCACCATTCGTCATGATATTATTATATGATGCAACATCAACCTGCAAAGTTGCTTGATAAATTTTTCTATTCTTCTTAGTGCAAGATATATCTAAAACTTTACATTCAATAGAATTAGAACAAAATACAGATTTATTTTGATTTAAAACGTAATGTTCAATTTTTTCACCATCTAATTCAGCCGACATTCCTACAACTCTTATTTTTGGTTTTATTCCAACCACATCCTTGATTTCATATTTTTCCATTAGATTAGAACCAGCAAGATTTTTTAATGTGGAAACTCCAGATTCAGAAGAGCAACCAATAACTAATCCCCCATCTCTAATATTCTTAACACTGGAGATCTGAATATTGGAGCCTACCGGATCAATCGCATTTAAAATATCTGCTTTGGTGACAGAATTATTTTGAGAAGAATCTTTCGGCTTGATTATAATTGCAGAGCTACTTTTAAGTTTCGTGGAGTACAAATTATTATTTCCGGTACTG